GCTGTCCTTCAGAGCTGTGTGCCCAAAGCAAGGGCCCTGGCTTTGTCCCTGAACCCGCTGTCACTGAGGTGGGTCATCTTAGGGAGGGTGTGGCTCTCTGCAACCAGCTTCCTGGGGTCCCACCACCGCGGGAACGTGAGCTTCTCGTCCGCAGCCCGGCGCTCGGCGGCCGACAGGTGCCGGAGAGGCCAAGCGGCCACGTGGGTTTCAGTCCTCCGACCCTCCGGGCCCTGCTGCCCCAGGATGTGGTGGGGTGAGCCCACGGCCTCCACGTCGGGTGGTACGGTCAGAGTCGGGGTCGCTGTCACCCTGGCCGTGTGGGAGAAGTCCCCGCACGCTCCCAGGCCTCTGCGCCCACGCAGCCCCTCCGTCCGCAGGCTCTTGGTCTCACCTCGTGGACACGCTCGGAAGCCATACAGACGCACCAGCAGGCGGAGGCCGCCAGAGGGGACGGGGCCCTGCCACACCCTGAAAGACGCGGGCCCCAGCCCTACCCGTCCCGGGCGGACTCGGCCGCGGGGGATGCTGCGCACAGTGCTCAGAGGGGAGCCCCATTTCTGGACCCCTCCCGGTTTCCGGAACAACTTGCTTCCCCTCCTGGGAACCAAAAGCAGGGATGGGGGCTCTTCAGAGCAGGTGTCTCTGTCAGCTTCGCGGGCTGTATGCTGTGTGACAAAAATCTCCACGGCTCACAGCGACAGTCCCATCCTGGTGGACAGTCGCACCCGGTGGCACCGTGGAGGGATGAATCGGTGGCACCACACGCCGGCGTGTGAGGCTTCTGCTCAGCAAGGACATGTCACGCCAGTCCCGTGTCTGGCTAGAGCAAGCCCCACGGCCGCGTCTGCAATCACCGGGCGAGATGCAGTGTCCCCCACAGGGCGAGGCTGGGACCGACGCAGCCCCCAGGGGCCACTGGCCGAGGAGCGGCCGGGGCTCAGACCGCACAGCCCGGTCCTGCGCCGAAGCCGCCACGTCGCTGTTCATTTCTCATCACGTTTCTCCTTGTGCCCACGTTGTCATGAGGCTTCTTTTTGTCTTAAATCTGCCTAAAAGCCGGTGGTTGGTGTGGTGCACACGGGCGGAAAGTGTGAACACGGCGTGGGGGGCACCCGCTCCCACTGCGGCTGCTGGCGGGGTGACCCGGTGTGGGCCCCTCGGGCGTGTTCTCAGTGTGCTCCCGCGTGCGACCCGGGACACCCGTCCAAACCCTCAGAACACGCAGGACCGAGCGTGAGCTCAATAAAATACAGACGGTGGTTACTAATGGTTTCATTTTTTTTTTTTTTAAGAAACAGTCGTTGTAAGACAGCATCAGGAAGGGCAGCCGGGGCTATGGGCCGGGTACGTTGCCAATGAGGGGCCCTCGGCCACTTGCCTGGCATCTCTAAGCCGGGCTGCCCTCAGCCGGTACCCAGCGTGAGTGCTGAGTCTGATTGGCAGGACTCTTACTCCTAAAAGCCGAGCTCAGTCCCGGTGTCCACGGGCCGGGCTGAGTGGAAACGACAGCTTGTGTCCAGAAGGACGGCTTGGAGCCCTGCTCTCCGGCTCTCTGGGGAAAGCGTCCTCAGCCCGAGAACGGCCCACGCTCACGCTGATGAGCACACAGACGCCTCAGGGGCACCCACCCCCACCCCATCCGGTCCGTCGACACGGGTCTCCCTCTGGATGGATCTCACGGTGCCCCCACCCCAACCCTTGCTCCAGCCCCCTGCCCACTGTTCCATGAATACTGCAGGCCTCAGGGCCTTTGCACTGGCCACTGCCTCCACCTGAAACTATCTTCTCTCATTTAATCCTCCCGCCTCACCTCAGCCAAGCTGGGATGGCGCCTGCTGGGAGCTGGAGGGGGCTTCCCGGCCTGGCCTGCCCCAAACAGCACCCCTGTTCCCTGGGCTCTGCTCAGTTCACTCCTAGCTCGCTTAGCAGGTTATATTATGTCCCCTCTCGCCACCGTGCCCCATCATTGGCGGCAGGGTCTCTGGTGCCCAAAGCAGCGTCTGGCATGCTGGAGGCAACCAAGCATCTGCCAAGCTTGTACCCTGCCTGAATGGCCCCAGGAACCCCTCCCTGGTCCCCACTGACACCCGGCAGCCTCGGGGTGCTTTTATGTCACCTCAGATCCTGTCACTGCTGCCTCAGAGCCTCCTGGTTTTGGCCCACAGATAAAACCCAACCTTTGACCCCAGCCCATCAGACTCAGAAAGGCCCGGGAGACAGGGCGAGGCCAGGGCGTCGGGAGGCCCCACGGGAAGACCCTGGAAGGCACTCTTCCGTTGAATACTGTTTAAACCATGCCAGGCCCAACACCCACCCCAGGCAGGCCTGATGGGTGCCCAGAGGACCTGGTGCCTGGGGCAGTCCCCGAGCACCCCCACCCCACCTCTGCCTCTCCCATGGCCCTGGCCCTTTCTCACCTCCAGACCCCACCCCACCTTTGCACAAACAGTTACCTCATCTGTGGCTAAAGTGCCAAGCCCACCGCTGCGGGACAGTCCCTCTCAGCCTTGGCCTGGCTGTCACCATTTGGCTGGTTTATAGGTTGAAGGCTCAATATTCCGCCTTCCCAGCCGGGTCCAAAGGAATCTGCCATCTCTCTGGAGCCTGGCATTGCCCTGGCACACGGCACATGCTGAGTGAAGGAAATGCACCCTCCTAGTCCTGCAGCCCACCACGTGAGACAGGCCTGCACGCCACACTTTGCGGGTGTGAGCTCATGCCATCGGGGGCCTGGCCCCCCTCCCCACCCTTAAGGGACAGCGTCGTGCAATGCTTCCGGCTGCAGAGCGCGGCGGCCCGGGCCAAAGTCCCTCGGCCCTGCCAAGGTCAGCAGCCCGTTCTCGGGCAGGTAGCTGCCTGCCTCAATTTCCTCCTTAGACAGATGAAGAACACGTTGGGGTCTCACTGAAAACGGATCATGCTCAGCTCTTGCCTGGCACGGGGCAAGGACCCGACACTGAAAGCCATTCTGGCTCTTCATCAAGGTTGTCGTTGAGACTGTTGTTATGATGATGACCATGGGTCCCCAGTGGAGCTGGGGTCCCTTTGTGAGGAGGCAGACCCACCCGTGTGCCAGCTGCCAGCTGCTCTGGGCTTGGGCTGGGCCTGAGGACAGAGAAGGGGCCATCCTGACCCGGGGGCACGCACAGATGGGCAGAGCGCTCTGCAAATGGTGACTGCAGATCACCCTTGTCCAGGACACCAAAGGCGGGAAACTGAGGCCCATGGAGGGAAAGGAAGGCTTGCCCAGGGCCACATGTACCTGAGCCGCACGTGTAATGACACCCGTGCTTTTTCCCTATGAAAGGGCCCCTGGCACCCGGGCCCGCTCCTGCCCGGGAAGGAAGCCGCCCGAGCCAACAGGTGAGCTGTCCCTCATCCACGCAGCCCCCACCTGCCCCGAGAAGGCCGCCCCGCAGACACTCCTGAAGCCAGGAGGCCGTGGGCCTGGGGACCAGGGCTGGAGCAGCAGTGTGGGTGGAACCCCTGCAGCCATCGTGTTTGTGGGGTGCGTGGCCTCCAGATTTCGTCTCAGCCACGAGTTTTAATTCAGGTGGTGTGCTGACTCGCCTCTGCCCCCTCCAAGTCAGCCAGCATGGGCTGGTCCAGGGCAGCGGGCAGGTCCCCTCCCCCAGGAGAGGCTTGGGGCCTGCAGTCAGGCCGGCGCAGAGCTGAAGGGGGCAGGGGCCCACTCTTGGGGGGCACGTCTCAGCATCGGCCCCCAGCCGGGCCTCCAGGTAGGTTAACTGCAAGTCCACATGTCTCCGGATCGGAGGGCTGAGCCCAGCCTTTGTCCCTGACCCGTGGGGGACATCAGCCCCGAAACTGGTAACTTCAAGTACAGGAGTTCTCCGCCTCTCCTGCCCTAGCGAACCTGCCAGCCGTCCATTTTTGCTCTTTACATCACCCTTTCCATCCTAAGCCGCAATTCTCAGAGGTTTATAGGTCAGCTGTTTAAAAGTCTCCCTCCTTTTCGATTGAAAAGGAGCACTTTGAAACCAGGCTAGTGTGTGTCCGAGGGCGGACGTGGCCTTGAGTTCTTCCACGGAGCCGGGAGGGAGCCCACTGAAGTCCCTCGTTCTCCCCTCCCCCCTCCCTGCAGGCCTGCGGGCCGCCCCTCCCCCAGTGCAGACGGCGCATAAGGGGTCTCAGGACCCCACCCTAGGAAGCAGCAAACCCTGGAGCAGCTGGGGCTCCATTTTGTGGGGTGGATCCCCAGGGTGCCACCACCGTCGGGAGGGGGGTCTGCATTGGACCAGCCCCTGCCCGTGTGCCGACTGAGCCCATCAGGGTTCAGTGTAGGCAGCCGCCTGCGGTGGTCTCCTTGGAGCAAGGAGCGCGGTGAGCTCGAATGTTGGGGCACAGCCCGGCACGTCAGGGAGTGTGTGTGTGTGTGTGTGTGTGTGTGATAAACGCAGAGCCAGGGCGGGGCCGCTCATCCCTAATTAGGAGCCTGTCGCAGGTGGGCACCAGCCAGCCCTGCCAGGAAAAAAGTCCCCCTCTTTGGGGCTGCCCCCTGGGTGGAAAGCTATCTCCCTAACTTCCGGGGTGCCAGAGGGGTAGCTGGAGTCAGCACAAGCACACACGGAGCTGAGTTGCAGCATTTTTTTGGCCTCTTTATTTGGAACCCGCAGATGAGGGACGGGGCAGTGGTGGCGGCTCAGGAACCGTTTTAACAGAGTTGTCTTCAAGGTTAAGATAATCCTAATGATAAGAGACAGCGAAAGCGCAGAGACTGCAAGCTAGGTGGGCTGGTAGGGCAGGCGGGCAGCTACGGCTGGTGAGCGACCCCCCCAGAGTCCCTATGGGAGTAATTTACATGGATAACCAGGTGCGGGTGACGTGCCTTTGGCATAACCGATAACCGAGCTACTGCGTGGCAAGAGCGGCCCACGCCTCGACATAAATAGAAAATATAAGTTAGTATAATTTTTTTTTAAATTTTTTTGTACAAATATACATGGTTTTTTCATTTTTTTTTCATTTTTTTTCATTTTTCAGCACTGAGTTTCAGCAGAGATTAAACATTTTATATAAATGACTCTTAAAGCTTTACACCTTGGGACCAGTGTACTCTTCGTGCAGAATACATTTAGATATAAAAGAGTTATTAATACATTGCACAGTTTTCAAACTTTAAACACAAAACCGAACGCTGCTCTAGGGCAGCGGCCGCCGGTTGCTGCTACATGGACGGTCCCAGCCGAGGCCCAACGCTCCTCCTCCGCTGCCCAGCGGGCTCCCTCGGGCTCTTTGGGCGCGAGGCTGCGGGAGAGAAGGCGCAGTGAGAGGGAGGCGGGCGGGGGGCAGAGGGGACCCCGAGGGCCCCTCCCGCACCCGGCCTGGCACTCACCTCATCGCAGCCGCTTGCGCGGGGTTTGCTCCGCCGAGCCGACGGCCGGAGCGCCGCCAGGAGCGGTGCAGCCCCCGGGGACCTCGTTGGTCGACTTGGCCTCGGGCGCAGGTCTCTTGCGCTTGGCAAAGAAATCTGCGGGGACAGCGGGGACGGCGGGTCAGGGCGTGGCGCGCCGGGGAGCCCTCGGAGGGGTCGGGAGGAGTTTCGGGAGGCTGGCCGGCCCGGGTGGGGGCGTCCCCGCCCGCGCCGAGGTCCGCGGCGGGTCAGCTTTGTTTACGTCGCCTCGCAATGTGCTGTGTAAGCATTTCCCCTTGTCCCTCGGCCAAGCCCCCCGGGGCCGCCGCGCGCTTAACCCCCTCCCTGCCGCGAGCGCCGACACCGCCGCGCCCAGCCGCGCCCAGGAAGGGACTCCGGTGGCCGGGGAGAGGACCTCGCGCCAAGGGGCCAGGGCTCGCCGTTCCATCTCTCCCGCTCCAGCGAGCGGCTGGACAGCACAGCGAGGGCGGGGACCGGGTGCGGGCGCAGCCGCGCCCTGCACGCTGCGGGCCCTTTAATGCCACGGGAGGAGGCGGGGACCCAGTGAGGCCCCCGAGGGCCGGGGAGCCCGGCCAGCTGGACAAAGCAGGGCCGGGCCGGGCTGGGGCGGGGCTGCGCGGGACTCACCGGAGATCAGAGGCCCGGGCAGCTTCTTGATCGCGGCGCCTCCAGCGGCGGCTGCGGCGGCGGCGGCAGCGGCAGTGGTGGTGGCGGCGGCGGCAGTGGCAGCGGCGGCGGCAGTGGTGGCGACGGCCGCAGTGCCCGGCGCGGGGCGCCCCGATATCCCTGAATGCAGCGGCTCGGCAAGAGGCTCCTGATTGCGCGGCGGCGGGCCCGCCTCCTGCTCAGCGCTCTCCTGCGGCTCCGCGGCTGGGGCCGGGGCAGGAGGCACGGCCGGGCCGCTGGACGGCGGCGCCGGCGCCTCCCCCAGGCCGTCGAGGGGCTCCTCGGCCGGCGGCCCGGAGGGCGGGCTCGCGCCCGCGCCTTCCGGGCGGGGCCGGGGCGCCAGGAGCAGGCGGCAGCGCCCCACCTGCACGGTCTCGCGGTAGAAGGCAGGCACGGACTCGCTGTCCACCTCGGTCCACTGCAGGCGTCCCGGGCCCCGCAGCGGCACATCCTGCTGGAAGTTGTAGTCCCAGCGGCGCTGGTCCTCGGCAGTCAGCTCGGCGAGGCGCATCTGCAGCTCGCGGCTCAGCTCCTCGTGGTCCACAGGCCCGAAGAGGCTGCGGCAGGCGCTGCTGCGCGCTAACTGGGGGTAGGTGCGGCGGGAGACAAGGCGCTCCATTGCCAATTCGCTGCGGAGATACACGTCGGACATGGCCAGGGGCAGCGCGAGCCCCGGCCGCGGGAGAGGAGAGGAGAGGAGAGGAGGAGAAGGAGAAGGAGGAGAGGAGGGTGGAGGCCGAGCGCAAGTGAGACCCCGCGCAGTCGGAGTCTGCATTTGCACAGGGACGCGGAGGGCGAGCGGGCGCGGCGGCTACCTGGCTGTCGGGCCGTGGACGGCTCCTGAGTCGCGTTCGCTGTGTCGTCCGGCCGGTGGCCGCGCCCCCTCGATGCCTGTCCTCGCTCCTTCGGCTGGCTTCGGCCTGGTTGGCACCCACCGAGCGCAGAGCACTTGGCTGTGGAACGCCCAGCCCTCGCGCGCCCCTTTATACACGAGGGTCCCACCCCCACGGCTCGCGGGCCCCGCCGCGATTAGCATAAAGTAGTATTTTCAGTTTCAACAACACGGCCTCGATTGGCCGGCGCCGCTCCCCCCCGCTCCGCCTGCGGCCCGGCCCCCGCGCCCCGCCCATTGGCCGCGAGCACACACCCACCCGAGGCGGGCGGGGCGAGAGGGCAAGCGGGCGGATTGGCGGGGCGCGGGCGCGGGGAGCGGGAGGGCGGGGCGGGGCCAGAGTTAAAGGGCGCTGCGGGCGGTAACGTGACACCGCGGCGCCCCGCCCCCTCGCCCCATTCCCCCCCACCCGCTCCCGCCCCCCGCTGGCTCCTTTGTCTGCAGGCGGGGGCTGCACGGCCGCGGCGGCTCGGGCGCCCCCCTCCGCCGGCGCGCCCTCCCTGGCGCGGCGGCCCCGGCGTCCGACCGGGACGGACTCGCCCCCCGAGGGCGCCCAGCCCGCCGCCAGCACTAGCCATCGGGTTTCCCGCGCCAGCTGACGGGGCTTTAACCCGCCGCCGGCAGCTCGTCCCCGGCGGGAGCGAGACGGGGTCTTCAGCTGCCCCCGCGCGGCTGCGGCGCCCAGCGCTCACGTCCCCGCAGGGCTCGGCGCACCTGGAGCCCTCACACACCTGCTGGCCCTAAGGCCCTCGAGCAGGAGGGGGTCCGCGCCAGTCCGCCTCGGCAGCGGTGAAGCGGCAGGCTCCTTGAGTCCTGGCCCCGGCCCCCTGGAGCCCGCGACTGAAGCTCTTGGGGCCCTCCCAGCCCTGGCCCCGCGGTAGGAAACAGGTCATGCCCATCGTGTCATTGACCGGGCCTGGACCAGGCCACTCCAGGCTGCTTGGGGCCGCGTCCGGCATGGTTCTCACTGCCCGGGCTGGCTGAGGCTGTTGTGCTGGGTAGGGTATTGGACAGGGCACTGGCGTCTTCCTAGGGAGAGGCCTGGCCCCACCCAGCCTAGGGTCTTGACTGGCTGTGCCAGCCTTGTCCTTTATCACATGGGGCGCCCCCTTGGGGGTGCAGCAGCCCAGCAGCCCTGCTCTAGCTGTCATACCAGCCGCACCTCTCCTCCATACTGGAAGGCCAGCCAGCGCCCCTCAGGTGTGCCCATAAACAGTGTTGGTTCTTGGGGAAAGACACCCCTAAGGATGGCGGGGCACGCGAGCCACGGGGCCCCACCACCTTGTCAGGGACGAGGAGACTGGCTCAGAAAGGGGGGGACCTGCCAGGGTCCATGCCCTTCTTCCCCCCCACACGGCACTCCTTGGTATGACCCTGGTTCTCTCCAGGGACCGTCCCAGCAGGGAACACTGCCTTCCCTGTGGCCCCGCCTGCCCTGAGCCCCCAGCCCTGGTCCCTCGTGAGCTCAGTGGAAGAAGTAGGGCCCCTCACCCCCAACCAGCCTGCCTCCACCATGAGGCCGAGTGGATCCCGGGACAGCCCAGGGATAGGACGCCGCGACGGCATACAAATGTATACGGAGGAGGGTTGGGGCAGGCGAGGTTGGACAGGAGGGGCAAACAGGAGAGGGCACCAAGCCAGGTGAGGGATAGGCTGCATACCACTCTGGGCTCTGGACGGCAGAAGCAAGGGCCGGTGTTTTGAGTGTCGCTGTCTTTACTTTCTGCACCCTGCATTCCCATTGTCCATGATAAGCCCGGGTACTGCTGCTTTTTGTCTTCAGGAAAATAAAGAGAAACCGACAACACCTCCCTCGGCCATGGACCTCTTGGGAAGGGCTGATATCACCTGGCCTGGGGTTGGACGGAGGCAGGGCCTTCCCCGCCCTGGTGCTGTGGCCATACCAGCCTCCCCAGAGGCCGCGTGCACGGGGCCCCAGCCGGCAGTGACCACAAAACGTGGAACCACGAAGCCTCGTGCATTTCCCCCCACCAGCCCAGGCTCATCCTCCAGGCCCTCTCTCTTCCCAGAGGGAGGAGGTCCCCACCCTCCCCGTCTGGCCCGCACACACAGGGGAGCAGAGATTGCCCTGTGGTATGAGCGCCTGTCTGCCGGGCCCCCTAAGAGCAGAAGACCTAGTGTTCGCTTCGTGAATGAGTGAGAGCTGGTCCTGCTCTTGGCCTCCATGTGGCTGCGCCCTTCCCACGTGCGGATGGGCTGGGGAGGACCGTCCCCAACGCCTGTGGGGCCCACCGGAACACCACCATGAATGCCAGCTAGTTCCGGTAGGTGGGCCCCAGGAGCATGTGACAGTCCTGCCCAGGTCCCACGGTGTGGCAGTGAAGGCAGCTGTGAGGGGCCACTCAGCCAGGAAGGAGTAGGGTTCAGACCAGACCCTCCTCCAGCTGCCTGGCTCCCTGTTTCGTTTCTCTGGGGCCATGGGACCACCTTTTCTCGAAGCAGAGAGGTGACCTTATCTGAGTCTGTGCCCGCTGGCTTACTGAACCTGCAGGTCCCAGGACGGAGCTGGGGGGAGGACTCGGGGCCCGGGCGGGGAGTCTGAGGCCCAGTTCCACCCCGGGAGTTGCCCAAGCAAGCACACATCTCTCTGGATACAACCACCAGGCTCTACTTCTGTTATTAAAAATATCCGAAGGGAGAAAGGAGACAAAAGGAGCAATGCATGTGTCTGTCCTGCAAACCGCAGAACCGGGGAGGGTGCTTGCCCCAGGACAGCCCCAGGCCGGCCGCCACACCACCGCAGATCCTGCCGGGAGTCGGGGAGCCCTCTTTGGGGGTGTCAGAAACACGCTGACCTCATAATTCTGACCCCGTCCAGTGAGTCAGGTCCAGTCCAGCGTTCACCGTGCCGCCCTCTTCCTCCGAGCACGCGGAGAGGCACAGTCTCAGGGACAAAACTTGAGCAGGGCTGCTCTGCATCACAAGCCACCTTCTAAAGCCACCAAGCAGTCCTCTCCCCCTCCTCCCGCGCTGCGGCCGTGGGGGTCCAGGGAAGAGTGCCCGGGGCCAGCAGAGTGCTGGGTGGCAGAAGCCCCGAGTGACCACGCAGAGCAGAGCCACCGGCCTCACCAGCGCCCTCCGCACACCCACCTGACTGTGATGGGATGAGAAATAAACTTTTATTGCATTTTAATCCGCTAGAGTTGGGGTGTCTGTTACAGACACCACTTACTCTTATGTGACATGGGCACTTTCTACATGGAGAAAAGGAGGTTCAGGGAGGTTCAAGAGTCTACGAAGCTCGCAGGGGTCAAGACCGTTAACCCGCACCTAGTCCCGGTGGGGTTTGGTTCTCCCAACGCCGCCCCCATGGCTGGATATCGGGGCTCTTTTCACAGCTCAAGACACGGGGGTTCGGGTCGCCAACACTCGCCGAAGTGACCGGCGGCGCCTTCTATGGCCGCATGCTGCCCCCTGGTGGCGACATCCGCAGCAGCGCCTCTCGGCTGCCCCAAACCTCCCTTCTCCTGGGGAGCCCACCGAGCCGCTCGGGGGAAACCCATCGAACCAGTCTGTGTCCGGCCGACCCCCTCCCGTGCTCCCGGGACCCTACAGGGGTGTCTGTGTCTGCGCCCCTCCAGCAGCCTCCCTGCGGTGTCCAGGGCGGTGCCCTTCTGAGAGGCCCTAGGGATACTACAAGCCAGAACAATACCAGCCACGAAACCAGGGCACTACGGAGCCTGCCCTGCCAGGGCCTGGCCTCGTGACCCTCCAAGAACCGGCAGACGGAGGCACTTTGATGCCCGTTTTGCAGAGGGGGAACCCGAGGCTCGGAGAAGCTAAGCAGCCCTCTGCCCCAGCCCTGAGCCCCCGGCCGCCCGAGAGAGCCTGGCGGGCGCACAAGCAGAGCAAAGGGCTCACCTCCCCGAACACCCTCCAAGCCCCGGAGCCAGAGCTGGGCGTCGGTGGGGGCACAGCCCTGCCCCGGATGGCTGACCCCTCTAGAGCATCTCCCCCCTGTGGAGGGGTGCCCACACGGCCCTGGAAGGCCCACCCCTTTGGCCTCGAGCCTCATCCCCCAACAGAGGTCCTTCCACAAGGCCCTGGACAGACGTGGCGAGACCCCCTGGGAAGGCCCTGGCCCCTCAGCCTCCCCTTCTCCTCCCTAAAATGGGGCCTGGAGGCCCCGAGGGTGTGGGGAGTTACAGATTAACTAGCCGGCCCCCAGCAACAGGCGGGGGCCGGCTCTGCGCCCGCGCAGGGGGAGGCTTTCCGGCGCCTTGGCGGGGGCCCAGCGCCTGTGCCAGAACCTTCCTCCCGCACCGAGTTCCCGCGCTCCGCTCGCCCCGCCCCGGCCCCCCCAGGACGGGCTGTTCTCGCTGCCAGGCACGTCCTCCTCCGCAGGTGCGGCCTCCCTCCAGTGACGCGTCCACATGCCGCGCGGCGTGGTTCGAGAGCTCTGGTTACAGGGACTGCCCTGCGCGCGGGTCCGGCCGGGTCCTCACGACCCGGATCCCAGGGGCCTGGGGGAGGGGCGGCGGGAACCGGGAACAGCCCTGACCGCCAGCGCTGGGCTGCCCCATCCCAGCCCGCCCGGGGGTCTCAAGCAGGGACCCTCCCAACCGGTTTGGAAACGTTTCTGGTGTGAACACTGAACGTCCCAGGAGCCCCTGGACCAGGGGCCACCCCAGGCTCCCGCCGGACCCTCCCAGGGCTGCACGCTCGGTGGCCAGCTCCGAGCCCCACGGGCCTTCCCCCCTCCCCCCGGCCCTGCTGCAGGACACACAGTGGCCTGGTCTGGGGCTGGCGCTCACTTCGCCAGGGAAATGGCCAGAAACACGGGTCTGGGAAGGCAGATGCCCTTCCTGGACCTCGCACCCACTGTGCCCCGGGACTGATTGCCTGGTTTCCTTGGACTAGTGGGGACCCCTATGAGTCAGCGTCTTCTGCTA